GCAGAAAAAAAGAAACTTCAATAAGTATTTAAAATATAGACTTTAATCAACAGATCCTAAAAAAGTATTTTTGCTTTGACTAGATTGTAACCCTAAAGAACAACAGTTACAGAATGCAAACACATACAATACACTGGTATAAAATTCACCTTTCTAGGGAAGGGATTAGATGTACAAATTGCCATCTATAAAAACAGTCATGAGGATATAAAGTACAGAATCGGGAATATATATTCTAATAATTGTATGGTGTCAGATAGGTACTAGACAAATTGAGGTGATCACCTTTTAAATTACAGAAAGGTCTAATGCAGCGGTTCTCAACCTGTGGGTCGCGACCCCTCTGGGGGTCGAACGGCCCTTTCACAGGGGTCGCCTAAGATCATCCTGCATATCAGATATTTATGTTACGATTCAGAACAGTAGCAACATTACAGTTATGAAGTAGCAATGAAAATAATTTTATGGTTGGGGGGTCACCACAATATGAGGAACTGTATTTAAAAGGCCAGAAGGTTGAGAACCACTGGTCTAATCACTATGTTGTACACCTGAAACTAATATTGTTATGTCAACTGTATTTGAAAATTTAAAAATTATTAAAAATTAAAATCCACCTTTCCTTAAAGAATAAGCTAATTAGAGCAGCATTAAAAACTGGCTTTAAAGCCCTGGCTGGTATGTTCAGTGGTTAGAGCGTTGGCCTGCTGACCAAACGGTCTTGGGGTCAATTTCTGGTCAAGGGCACATGCCTGGGTTGCAAGTTGGATCTCAGGCCCCAGGAGGCAACCAATCGATGTCTTTCTCACATCGGTGTTTGTTTCTCTCTCTCTCTTCCTCCCTTTCTCTCTCTCTAAAAATCAATTGGAAAATATATCCTCGGGAGAGGATTAACAAAAAATAAAAACTGGCTTAAAAAAAAAAAGGCACTGAATACATGTCACTAGAAATTCAAGTCCCCAGATATGAGAATGTGAGTTTATCCTAACTCCGTACTCTTATTCATCAACAGCTAAATCATTCTGGGATTCAAACTACCCTATTTGTCCACTTTCTACAAGCATGAGTTTAAAAATTCATAGCCTCATTTGCACTAGCCAAGAAAGCCCTGAAAGAGCAAGCAAACCCAAATAACTTACAATATTATGGAGTATAACATTAAGCAGACATTACCAAAGGGGTCAAAATAATAAAAATTTTAAAGGTTAAAAATATTTTTGATTTATACAGATTCACAGAACATTAATCCATCTTACTCATTTAACAGGTGAGGAAACAGAAGCCCCCAATGATTTAAATGATTTCAGAGCCAGGCCTAGGACCTTTATACACACTGAGTCCTCAAAGTGTTTCAAGTTTAGCCCTGTGAATAGTATATTCCATAATATCCAGTTGCCAGCGCTCATTTGAAATTCAATATTCAAAACATTTAATTCTTTCCTAGTGGAACTGAAAGGAACTCCTTGCTCAGACTCTATTTTTACTGTGCTATATCATATACACAAATTACCACTTAAATGTACAAAAAAGCCACATAAATAAAAATAACTTTTCCCAGTGTTTTAAAAATTTTAATAGTCAAATATTTTTTAAAAGCACAAGCTTTATCACTGCTCAATATTTGTAGTACCAACATACCTTGCTTTTACACAAAAAATGTATCTTACTTCGTGCATAAAACCTTAAATCACAGCTCCAAAACATTTATACTGATTTTGATGAATATTAAATTGTCAACGCTGGCAGAAACAGTGAATTACAAACTGGCACCACTTTAGTAAAAAGAAAAATCTACACATCCTTTGTAAGTGGTATCAAGATTATGAAAACCATACTATTTACATGTACCATATAACTTCTGCTCATTGATCTGGTAATTGTTTCATTAATTTAAAATTCACAATCATAATTTCAAATCTATAAATACAGTATCATCCAAATATTCATTATGTGGTGGCATTAGAGCTAAAAAAAAAAGTGCTAAAATATCCCTAACTTTGTCATGGATGTTAGATTATCAAACAATTGATAGAGCCATACAAACTACCATGATAAGCTATGCTATCAATTTAGGAATGTACCCTGTAACGATGAGAGTTAATGCCAAGAATAAAAGTATTATTAAAGCAGGAACTTCTAAGTTCGCAAAATGTCAAGGATTTATAGAAAAAAATCTGGGTGGAGGAAGGGGAGGAAATACTGTCATGGTTGCAACATCAATGTCACTGTGAAGTATCAGTGAGTCAAGAAAATACCTATCTAAAGCCTAAAGTACTTTTATCAGTAAACAGTTTTATTGGGATATAATGAACATACTATAAAGCTCAACCTTTTAAGGTATACAATATAGTGGTCTCAAAAATATTCACAAAGCTGTGCAATGATCACTACTTTCTAATTCCAGAACATTTTCATGATGAAAAAAAGAAACCCCATGCCCATTAGCACTCACTCCCCATCCTCTAGCAATCTCCTTTGTCTCTACACATTGGCCTAGTACGGGTATTTCATATAAATGGAATCATACATGTGGCCTTTGTTTCTGGCTTCTTTAACTTAGCAAAATGTTTTCTAGGTTCAGCCACTGAATAGCATGTATCAATGTTTCTTTCCTTCTAATGATTGAATTTTATTCCATTGTATGCATATACTACATCTATTCATCCATACATTCATTAGAGATGGACATGTGGATTGTTTCTAGCAGAAGTACTTTTGATCACTTAAACAGACACACATACCAAAAGCATTTACTATGCTTAAAAGGTAAGTTTAAAAGCAAAGCATATAGGCATCAAATCATCACACTATATGCCTTATACAATGTTATATGTCAATTATGTCTCTATAAAGCTGGGGGAAAAAGACACATACACCAAAAAGACAAACTACCACTCTATACATTGATATACTGTAAGCACATAAACAATATTTAAATTTTATATCAATTCATGGAGTTTTTAATTATGTGAAGTCTTTGGGAATGCATCTCTCACGAAAAGATGTCCTGTACAGATGGCCAAGTTTTTAAATAGTCTTTCCACAAAACTATTTACATCTCTGCCTGGCTATATAGAGCCATTAAGGTTGTTTCACTCTGTTTTAAGCCTGAAATCATCCAAGCCTAGGAAACAGCAAAAAGCATTTCCCAAAGGAAAATATGCTTGAAAGTCTAATTATCACTTGGTCCCACTCACTGGTTCCTACCCCACCACCCAAAGTCAGAGTCACAATGCTTTAGACTGACACTTTGCATTAATGTGAAAGGTGATTCAGTTCATTTTCTAACTTATAGTAGACAAACAGAGTTTAATGAAGTGGCATAATTTTCCATGTTTTCCAAAGTCAAACATCCATGGTCCAATTCTGTTACTTTGTATAAAGTGCTTTGACTTTCCAGAAACAGTTAATTTGAAATAAATTTAATCTCACTGCCTAAAGTACTATAAGCCACTTCAGTTCATTTTAGGACAAAAAATAATTAAATGCTCAAACACCTTCATACGCAAGTGTAAGAACTTTTTATAATCTATCATGTTGGATTAGCAAAACTACTTAATTTCTTGCTTGGCCTTATTTTGAAGAAGTGTAAACTTTAACACTAGAGACTAACTCCTCAAGACTTGATTGCTTTCTACTGAAGTGAAAAGAACAAAGTTTGGTATAAAATATTATTTCACCTCAAATAATTCAACTGATGCTGCTTTTCAGAATAGTATTCTTCTGTCAGCTCCACCAGCATCTCCTAAAGTTTTTCTTCAGTCATACCCACTTTCAGCAAAGGAAATTAACACATTATGTCAAGTCTTAAACAGCAATTTAGAGAAGAAACCATAAAACCCAAGTAAGCACATTTATAGTCACACAATTATAAACTAAGAAATATTTAAATCAATAAAAAAGAAACCATACTGCCTAAGGTAGTTTTTCTTCCTAGTATGAAGGAAAATTTCTTACCTAGTGATATCATACACCATAAGCGCTCCTGCAGCTCCTCTGTAGTAGCTTCGTGTAACAGCCCTAAACCTCTCCTGTCCTGCTGTATCCCATATCTGCAGTTTGATTTTTTGGCCACTAACTTCAATTATTCTTGTACCAAATTCAACACCAATTGTATGAGGACAATCGGCCATAACTGTTAGGGAGGAAAAGAAATATAATATAACATCCCAACTTCAAGAAAGTTTCAAGTTAATACCAGTGGGGAGGAAAAAAACCCACTGGATAATCAAATAACTTAGTACTGCTTATAGGCTATAAACAGACTAAAGCTTGCATATCTCTATATATAAAAGCCTATGTGAACTTTATGACTGAACGGCCAGTAGCTATGACGCACACTGACCACCAGGGGACAGATGCTCAACGCAGGAGCTTCCCCGTGGTGGTCAGTGCACTCCCACAGCCAATCTCCTGCGGTTCCTCACCCTGGCCGGCCCCAATCAGCTCCGAACACTGGCCAGGTTGAGGGACCCCACCTGTGCACGAATTCGTGCACCCAGCCTCTAGTAAATAATAAATAAACCAGAAAAAACCCAGAAAAAGACATTGACATGGACTAGAACAGGGGTCAGAAAACTTCTGTAAAGGACTAGATAATAAATATTTTAAATTTAAAAATAAAGATTATAATAAGCTTTTTAAAATACCAATGTTATATTATTTATCCCTCGGACAATCCTTACATATAACAAATCAATCAATGGTCTTAGAACTCTAATTAAGATTAGTCAACCAAATTTTTATCCTGGAAAATATACCAATATCTCAAAATCACCACATTTAATATGTTTATAGTTCTATATTGGCAAGTTATATATGTCTAATCCAATACAACAAATTTATTAGTCCTTATAATGAGACCGCTGGAAATCTAAAACTACTATTGTCTGGTACAAGAATACACAGACCAATGGATACTTCATAAAATATTGTATTATGGGAAAAAAAAGCCACAGAAATTATTTCAACTATATGGAAACAATTTCAACTATATTAGCTATTAGTTACATAAAATAAAATGGCCCCTCACATATCACCCAAGTCAGAGTTGTACTTTGAATCTTAAGTCATCAATGCAGGTAAGATTCCATTTTAAGTATTTCCAATCTATTATTATATAGTTAACAAATGATACATGTAGCAAAATTCCCGTAATAATTTCTATAATGAAAGTCTGAGAATAAAAATATTTAAATTTGACATTACAGTATACATTTTTAAAAATTAAGTTTTACCATAAAAAAGTCTCAAGTGAATCAAAATATATATGATATATAAAAATTAACATTGTATATGTCGGCATATTTCATTTTATCTGCACCTATTTAAAAATAGAATCATTCCCTAAAGACAAAAGTGCATATGTTCAAATGCATAGAGTACACTGAAAATGACACTTTAAAAGGTAGAAAAGTGACAATAAATAATTAACTAATATTTCACCTTACATTTTAAACTTACATTTTTTTTCTGTAAATTGATGAAGCAAGCAAGATTTTCCTACTCCCATGTCCCCTGTTTAAAAAAAAAGTTTCAAGTGGCAATTACATTTCTCAATTTTACACTCATAATTATATACAATAACTGCTATACCCCTTAAAATATCACAAATTTCTAGACACTTAGAAAAGTTGCATTTCCCTAATTTATAATGACTTTAAAAATCCTACAGGTCAGTTTTCACTGAGATGTACAAATTCACTATTCCCAACTTTCGGCAGTAATAGAGTCTGGTTATAAATTATGTTACTAGCCACCAGCTGGAAAGTGTGGGTTTTTAAAATTTTTTGTTGCTGTTAATCCTCACCAGATAATATTTTTTTCCATTGATTTTGAGAGAGGGAGGGAGGGTAGGAGGGAGGGACAAGAATGTGAGAGACACACATGAATTGAGTGCCTCCTGGGCCTGGGATCCAACCTGCAACCCAGCTACATGCTCTTGACCAGGAATCAAACCCAAGATCCTTGGGTCAGCAGGCCAATACTCTAACCACTGAAAAACACCAGTCAGGGCATAAAGTGCTTTTTTAAAAAATATATATATTTTATTGTTTTTTTACAGAGAGGAAGGGAAAGGGATAGAGAGTTAGAAACATCAATGAGAGAAAAACATCGATCAGCTGCCTTCTGCACACCCCCTACTAGGGATGTGCCTGCAACCAAGGTGCATGCCCTTGACCAGAATTGAACCTGGGACCCTTCAGTCTGCAGGCCCACGCTCTATCCACTGAGCCAAACTGGTTAGGGCAGAAAGTGCTTTAACAGAGAAATTGTTCTAATCGTATTTTTTACTTTGAGCTGATTCAAAGTTTTATATTGTTCTTTCTCTTTCTTAACCATGCATAAAAGCAACAGACTCCTAGGAGTGACAAATAGGGCAGCAGCATGTAATCAGCAGAAATGAGTTTTTGAAGCCTGATTCACTAGATCCTATCTTATCTCAAATTTTGTTTTTTTGCAAAATTCCACAAAAGAATATACACTATATGAAAACCATAATAGAACAAGTGTCACCTCTGTACTACAGCAATTTAACCTTTGGTGAAGGAAGCATTCCACTATAGTCATTTAAGATCAACATTAAACCAAACTGTTCTCATGTGAAGAATTAACTGAAAAGTATATGTACTTTCAACTCTGCTCTTACAACTATATTTGGATAAAAGCATGGTCTTTCAATTTGAGTAAAATCATCTAGAAACTTAAGGGAAAAACCATCAATATTATATTTTATGTGTATTAAACAATTGTTCTGAATCAATGTTTGGAATCCAAAAATTGGACTCTGAGTGCTTTTATGATATTTTTGGAATGTATCAGCACTCCTAGGAAATTAATTTCTTTTCCAGTATTAACAAGCTTTCAGGTTTCTCCCAAAACAATCAAGATCACTTACTTAGACCAAGATACACTGTTCTACATAAGAATCCAGAGCCACAAAGCACAGAGTCCATTGTTAATGCAACTATAAATCTCAAAGGAGTTTGAATTTTGCACTGAGAAAGTCATCCACTTCTTCTGGAGTGATATGTTAAGTATTAGTATATAAATATTTTGTATATTAACCATCTTTGGAGAACAAGAGTGTACGTTAAATAAACTTACCAATAATAATATATTTAAAGATGTAAGAGTAGTTGTATGGTGCAGTTGCCATGGTGGCACTAAAAACAAAGAAAACTGTGTTACTTCAGTAGAAAAGTATACATAAGTTATTCAAGTTGATAATTGCTATCCTTTAAAGGTACATAAAATAAAGCACACTGATTATAAACAAAATGTTGGTTACAGTAATTTGGAATAAAACTGCATTTCCCAAACTGATCAAATGCACAGATTTCTATGAATGAACACCGCTTTAACATTCTCATGTATTATCAATAGAAATATAAGAAACCATTACATCAAAACAATTCTAATATTTCACATTAGGAAATATTTAATAACATGTTATCTAGAAAACGTTAAACAAGGAAATATTTATAAATTTGAGTTAACTATCATTATAAATAGTCCTCCTCTTTAAGACCCATCCCTATTACTGGTCAAGTAACTTAATGATAGCCTACTTGTTCAGAACTCGCTGATTTTTAAAACAGAATCTTTTTTTTAAAGTAACCACTAACTTATAAACACAGTGTAACATTTTTATTCCACTATAAATTAATGGTTAGCATAGTATCCAAAGAAAGAGCAAATCATTATTTCCAAACCAAATTAATGTCAGATTTATATTGAACCATATGAAACTGTTCTTGTAGATTTTTTTTAAGTCAATCATTGGCAATTTCATATGGTTCAACCTAATGTAGGATTTAAAGATCAACAATATATCAAATGTCTGCTATGTACTATTTTAGGAGCTGAGAGAAATAATGGCATAAAACATTACTTGTGGTTGTAAAATTTGCAAGTTTATGTATCAGAATATATTTCAAAAGATCACAGCCCATGCCGGGAGCCGGTCCATCCTTGCTGTTTCAAAGGACCTGGCATATATGGCATACTGTTCTTAATATGTTTGCTCACCTTCTTGGCACTATGTGTTTTAACCAAGGTCACCTCTCCGAGAAAGGTTGTTTCCCCAGGTAGAGATTTTCCCCTGAAGTTAGGGAGGGAATAAAACCCCTTCACTAAGTGCCAGGCGGGTAATTAATCTCTTTAACTACAAACAATCATGCTTAAACTACATAATCTTTACTCCCTGGAATGGAGATAAGAAACACCCTAACCTTTGGC